GGGTTTAGAGGGGGTTTTTTTTTTTTTTTTTTTTTTTTTTTTGCATTAGCTATACGAGTATGTTTGTTGACCACAAAAAGAAACCAGCATACAATTATTGCATAATTTTGTATTGATCACAAGCCTAAAAATCATTTTTTTAATATCTTGAAAAACACTTTCTGAAATAAAAATTAACACAAAATTAAACTATATGCATTTTACCATTTAAAACTTAATGCAAACCTAAAATCACTAGCATTTTATGATAAATTTTATTTCTAAATGATTTGAACAGTTTTTATTAGACTCATTCAGAATTTATTTTGTTTCTAGACTGTCATGAGAAATTAAGTTTTAACAACTCTTGTTTTAGTTCCAGAAAGATTGCTCTGATATAAAGGATTACACTGAAGTAATTAAGTATGTCTTTTTCTTACCCTTCCTCCCCCAAAGACAAAGTATCTTCAGGGTAGTTAATAATTTGTGTAATATTTTTCAAGTTGAAGAAGAGAAAAACTAGAAATAGTATTCCATTATTAATAAATTCTTAAAGATCTAACTTGTTCTTCACAATTATTTTTCATGATAAAACATGCTTATTTATTTATATACACATGCTTACATATGAATTTCCTGGCTAAAACACATGCAACCACAATGAAAAAACAAATTTTAAATCATCCTCACAATCTTAAGAATGCCCTTTTAAATAAGGCACTCAAGTTTGGAAATAGAATATAACTACCAAATTAAATACGTTGTTTAAAGAAGCCTTTTATTAAGCACAAACAACTTTCAATACATTATCAATACAAATAGGAAAATGTCTTTAATGAATATGATATTTCAAAGATCTGAAGGGTTTTCTCCGTATTGACACAATAAAAATAATCAACTTTGAAGAATAATTATAAAGTAAATTTTTGAGGACATCCTTGTCTACTAATAACAGTTTAACTACAGTCTAAATTTACTACATCACCTGGGGAGGAAGGGCAACCATTTTTTTATAGACGAAATTCCTAAACTCTTATTAGCACCATTCAAAGCTTATTATCAGTTGTTCATCTACAAATTGACAGGTCAGATAAAGCTTTAAAGCAAGTTTTCAGTGCAATGTTTTACGCTTCTTCTTTTAAGATACTTGGAGTATATGGTCTCAAAGCATGTTAATAATTATGCCTTGGTAGTTGCATGGTGTTAGCATGTAGAAAGAAATGTGTCATGGGAAGAAATGAGGCTTATCCTGGCTGTGAAATGCATCTTAATGTGCTGTGGCTAAAGCCGTGGTATGCTGACGACATGCAGGACTATGAGCTGCAGATCTGCAGGAAGCTGGTGGCTATTAGCTCTCAGTGGTCACCATTTCAGGGTGCCTCAGCTGCTGCCTTTTGAGACTAACTAGTTTCATCCTGTCTCTGATGTGTTCTGCAGTAGATGCCATGTCACTTGGACTCCCAAAATACTGTTCGCTTCTGAAAGCAAAACACACAGAAAAAAACTAGGTTGATACAAACCCATAAATTGCAGCAAATACAAAAGGAAGCAAAAATTATCATCAAAAGTATCTATGTGAAAATGGCTTATATATAGAAACTACTTCATTTATTGGACCATACAATTTGAGTAGTGATTCAGTAGGAAAAACAATTTTTAAAATAGCATAAAATCTGGGGAGAAAATGATCAGAAAAATACACTGGTGGAATAAATGTTACATCCCGTGTATTTATGATACTGCCAGTAAACCAAACAATGCAGCATTGGAGATATTCTCGTTTTTGGTTTGGGGCCATATGCATATGCAAAACAGTGTTTATATATGCACTTAAGTGCTGAGGGCTATCATTAAGTGCCTAATAAAACTGGCTGAGAAAACATCTTTTTTAATGTCAAGACATCATATGATACATTCATAAATAAAGCTTCTTCACTGTTTTTCTATTTGCAAAGATACTGTACTCGGATTTATAGAATCTTTTAGAGCTGGAAGAGTTCTTAGAAATGATCTGTTTTATCTCTTCATTTTTTGATCAGAAAACTAAGGCCTGGAAAGTTACATGATTCACACAGTTAAAAAAAAAAAAACTAGGATTTGAACCTGGGTCTTTAAGCAGTGAATCCAGAAAGACCACCAATTTCTTTTACTTTACTAGGAGAGAATATAAAAGATAAATTTGAATAATCTAATTCTCAAACTTCACATAGCATAGACAGAGTATCATTAGTTAATAATTATGAAAAACACTGTATAAACTGTTGTGAAATATTTTTTAGCAAAATACCTAAAATAGATATACATGAATTTGAACATGAATACAAAACAAAAAAACATAATTTCAAATAAAAAAAAAGATAGGACTTGTGAAATTTGCATATACATTACTAACTTACTCTTTTCTCTTAATGGGATGAGAAAACGACACATGGACGATCTGTGCAACACAGAAAGAGAATCCCAAGCACCAATACCAGGGACAGAAGCTCGAGGCAGGCTGGCCTGGGTGGAGTGGGAAACTGACTGCAGGACAAATGGCTGTGAAATGTGGGGATGAAGGAGTGGAGGGATTTGGGAGCAGAACCACCAGGATCACTCTGATACTATCATGACTAGCTGGATTTTGCTCTTCTTTACTGTAGATATATAATATGACTTTAGGCTATTTCAGATTGTTCATGTTCAGACATGACTCGAGATTATCTAAGTGTAGACTCTCTGAATATCTTTTCAAGGGAATAACAATGACATCTTTTCAAAATCAGTCTCAAATAATCACTAGAATGTCATGGAATAGTTGGAGTGACACTTATTATGTGTCATATATGTTTTAAGTACTATATGTAAATTAGCTCAGGTACCCACACCCCTGGAAGATGAGCAAGTATGACTATCATTCCTGTTTCACATTAAGAGACTTTGGAGCACAGAGAGATTGAGAGGCCTGTCCAAAGTGACACAGCTAGTCAGCAGTAGAGCTGAGATGTCTGCCATTCTAGCTCCAGGGTGCATACCAGTCCTTCACATCACACCACACAGGAAGGATACTTGTTTTTATTCAGTGGTTTGATTTCTCTACCATTTGAATTAAATGCCTCTGGATTACTTCTAAGTTATTTTCACTGAGCAGGTCTAAGTGACCAAGGATAAAGCTCTAATTCATTTACTGACTCATTTATTTTGCATCAGATTATTTTATATTTTTATTGGCGACTATTTGAAGCAGAAAGGAACAGGGAATCAGGACCCTATCATTATACATGTGAAGAAATTAGGACAACATATAGTACAGTAAAATGAGAATGAGTTTGGAGCCCGACAGACCTGAGACTGTACTGTAACTCCAACATTTAGAAGCAGTGAAGTCCTCGGTGCCCTTCTTAATCTTTCTAAGCCTCAGCTTCATCATTTATACACCAGGAATAATCATACTAGCCTGGCTCTCTTTGATGAAAGGAATGAAAGCAAAGATTTAACTCAGACTGTGGCATATATTATGAGCTCAGGTAGTCCCCTCCTCTCCTTTTTCTAAATGTAGCCCCAATGTCACACTCCTCCCTCTCATAGTCAAGGTTAGAACCCAGTGTTTCAATCCATTTATTGGATTGTTCTACAAGTTGTGAATAAAGCAATACATTTGATGTCAGCAACTACCAACTGTTACTGTTTCTATGAACTAAGTTTGGATTTCCTTTTATGTTAAACCAATTAATTGTGGAAACTTAAGTCATGGAGCAAAGCTAATTTGCGGTGCTTTTAAAAGAACAGATTTTCTTCTCTTAATGATTTCACTTTAAGACTTCACTGATAAAAAGATAAAATTATAAGAACATGCACCATACCCATCAGGATAAACTACAGGAACAGTTAATCTATCCAAAAGTGATTTCCCAACTGCTTCAATTTCATCAAATTGTTCTTCATCATTAATAGCTTCAGGCTCTTCTGGACAATCTTGCAAAATCTGAAACATATAAAAAGGGAACATCCATCAAAAAATCCAGAAAGGGGGACCAGCAGATGGCATAATGGCTGTGTCGCTGGACCCCCATGTAGTCGACTGTGGTTTGAGTCCTGGACCGAATAGCTTAAACTCACGCTGGATGAGTGTGCATGCGTTCCCAAGGTCACAAGAGGAAAATGGAGGAGAAGGGATTGTGGTGCGGCCATTCCCTGTGGGGGGTGATTTCTTACTTTCTCTCTCTGTCTTTTGGGTAAGCGCATGAACTTAATAGCAAAAACCTCTCCAAAAAAAAAAAAAAATCCAGAAAGGAAATCAAGTTCATGCTAATTTAGTAGATTGAAGGCATGTACAACATTGATCTATTATTAGCAAAGTTGGCTCAAAAAATCCAAATAACAATACATAACCCCTACTAACAACATATAATCTGAATACAAAAGGTCAGTGGTGATTTCTAAGAAAAAAATACTACTAGACTACTACTTGGAAAATAAGTTCTACCTATGCTTAAGAGGTATTATCTCATTCACAAAGCAATAGATTTTTTTTATTATTATTTTGTTTGTTTTTTGAGAGGTTTCTGCTACAGGGCGCGTGCGCTTGCCAGAGAGACAGAGAGATAGAAAGCGAGAAGTCACCTCCCCCAGGAGGGATGGCCATGCCACAATCCCTTCACCATTCTCCTCTCAGGATCTTGGGCACACATGCACACATGCCCAGCGTTTTTAAGCCTCTGGGTCCGGGATTCAAAATGTAGTCAACTGCATGGGAGTCGAGCGACATAGCCATTATGCTAACTTCTGGTCCCACAAAGCAACAGTTTATTGAACAACTTGCTATAAATATATTTAGCAGCTGATAATGTGAATGAAATATGTTAATGAGGACTTTACAGATTTCAAAAATGTAAGAAAATAAAACCAGCATACAGAGTACAAACATGTAACAGATATGAAGAGCTCGCTAGACACTTTATGCATAATTGATCTGCTGACTTGAGTTAACTGACATAACTAATCAGGTTACCATTCAAGCTCGACAGTCCTTGATAAAATATTACTTTTTATTTCCTAAATATTATGATTTAAGTTTAATTCCAGGAAAGAAATGCAAAATTTGGGGAAAGAAGAAAAAAAAGAAGTATTTATTTTTTAAGTTTTTGCAATATTTTTTAATTGAATCATATTAACTCATGATTTAACATTTTATTTATAAATGGACAAGTTTATTTTAAAATTCAGTATTTGATTTTTTAGTAATTATTTTATTTAATTTTCCTTCTTCTTATTGTTGTTTTTAAATTTGTTACAGGACATATGTGCTCACCAGAGAGGCAGAGATAAGAGAAAGAGAGAGAGGGTCAGAAAGAGAGAGAAATCAAGTTGCCAAGTCTGGGACTGAAACAGTGGTTAGCTACGTGGGAGTCCAATGCCTTAACCACCACTCAACCTGCTGCCCCCCTCAAGATCTAATTTTATTTCCCAACAGTTATACTATAGGATTTGCTCATAGGTGTGACTCTATTTATGTTTATCAGTTTAAAATAGAACAAGGAAGAAATTAATATTTTATAACAAAGGGCTTTACTCTACACAGGAAAATAATCTTAAATCAAGTTTACTATAAGCAAGATAAAGGCTGGGTAGCAGAAAAAACAAACATTAATTTTCCACTACAAATCTCTCAATCATATTCATTCTTATATGACTTCTTAAAGAGTTCTAGATTTTAAAACACCCTTGAAAATACATTTTAAAATTAGTATCTTAAAAATTTTTAGTGGTGTTGGAAATTGGGCCAATCTTGACCCTTTGGCAAGAGAGGTGAGAAGCAGTTTTGTAACCTTAAGGGAACAGACAGTTTCTGGGATCCTGGTAACATTCTGCTATGTGAACAGCATTGATTTTACAGGTGTATTTACTTTGTCAAATTTCATCAAGAGAAGCTTTTACACTCTGTCTGCAAACTTCTGTACATTAATAGCATACTTCATAATAATAAAAATTGTTCAGTAAAGCAATCAATAGAAAATAAAGTAAGCCGCATTGCATTCTTTCATTCATCAGCATTAGGCCTATGCCCATTTTAACCAAAACACTGATCTGTAGAGTTTAGTGAACAGCAAAGGAACAAGTAACTATGGAATCTTCCCCATAGATACACTTCACCAGATAGAAATGGCTTATTTCCTAAGGTTCCCTGCAGTATCTGCTCTACAGATCACACTATCACACTGACATTTACCTTCACCACATCCTAAAGTATATTGAACATCCCCTACATAGAACTTTCTTTATAAAAAAAACAAACAAACCCAGAATTAACTACATAATAAAGTTCATTTTCAGAATAAAAATATAAAGCTTGAGTTCTACAGAATTTTACTGTGGAGAGTAAGGAAAAAATCCTATTGAAAGTTTGCCTAAAGACCACCACCTAATTTTTCATTTTTAGGAGTAATGAATTCATTGAATAAGAAGTTCTAGGATGAATATTTAAACATAACAGGAGAGAAAGGTTTTATTTTTATTCTTAGTCTCATTATTTAATTTTGACAGTCTATAAATTACAGACTCTCATAGTGCCTTTTTAAAGTTAGTGACAATTAGTAGCAGTTTGCAAACAAAGTTTCTTCTGGCATAATGAGAGAGATTAAAGTCATGACACTGAAGAACAGAGAGTGCGTTCTTACGCCAGGCTTGTAGGGAGACAAGAGGAGTAAAAGGACACTATAGGGTGATTCTGGGTTTCTTCATTCACAATACTCAAGCATTGTACTTGGATTAAGAAAATTAATTTGAACTAAGATAATATATATTTTATCTAAACAAACTTTGACAGTGGAACTAATAGAGATGCTAAAAGGTAGACTAATCTACTTTTGAATAAGCATATTCTTAAAGCAAACACATTTTAAACATGCACAATAAATACCACTAAGTTTATGTAAAAAGAAGTAAAAGCGGACCTTTTCAGCATTCGAGTGAAATGCAACAGCCATTTCCAACCTATGTACTCTCTCTTCAGATGCTATTGTAAATTGTTTCCATACTCTGTTCAGCCGAGGAAGTGTATCCCCAGATGACCGAGAAGTGCAGCGCAAAGACTGACACAGCACAACTGTGGCCTGTAGCAGCTGTCTACCATAGTCGTAAGTGCTCTAAAAAAGAAAAAGTAATAATGATTTATAATGAATCAATTCTAAAGAGAGGGATAAGGAAGGTGTGCAGGAGGAGGTGGCTGCAATTAAGGGGCAGTGCTAGAAATCAAGACCAAATGTATTCAGTGGCACTTATTGCTACAAATGATCTGCATGCATAAACAATGAAGAGGATGTGATATTTTTAGTTCATTTATAAGCTTCTATTAAGCTTCCCCTTCTTATTCTATGTTCCTCATCTGAGCTTGCTAAATTTCACTGACCAAAAAGAATATCTGCTCATTAGTTAGCGGAAACAAGTAGGTGACATTAGGCACTTTAAAATCTATATAAGAAATTACAACTATTATAATATGAACTCAATTAGTAGGGAAAATTAATTGAGATACTTTCCCCTATAAAAGCAATTCTGTATAATTATGCTAAAACTAATAAGATATAAAAAGTGGAGTTTCTAATTTACTGACAGTAATATAAGTTTCATGCTAACTTCTATGAATTAACAGCTGGCCTGCCTTTAAAATGCCATAATATATAATAAATCAGAGGGAGTATACAGAACCTGTGTCTGAGGAAACAAAGTCTCTCAAGTGGATGCAGGCTAGTTTTGATACACCAGCTGACATGTTCTTAATTCTGTGCTACTTTTAGAATAACAAAACTAACCTTCTTGGACTTGGAGGGTAAAGTTACATTATAATCATGCAGAAAGCTATTCAAACACTGAGCTTGTAGAAAAGGAAGATAACCAGTTCTGCACCTGTGCAACATCAACAAATTTTCTATGCTTCTCCAGTAAAACTTTCGTTTCCTGAGCATCATCGCCCAATCTGATGTGTGTCTTTAGGAGGGCATCCAGAAGTTCACTCAGCCATTCTACTGCCTAATGGACAAGACATAACAGTGAAGCTGGATTTATAACTCCTTATGTACTATATAAAGACATCATAGTCAAACAAAGATTACTACCATATGATTAATTCATTAATCACAACCTAAGTTCTTATTAGCTTATTTTATTCAATGCCAAGTTCTATGAATTAATGGCCTCCCCTACTCATCAAAATTTTTCAAATCTAAAGGCAAAACCTTCTAAAGAGGAGACTCTTGGGACCAGCAGATGGCGTAATGACTATGTTGCTGGACTCCCATGTAGTCAATCATGGTTTAAGTCCCAGGTCTGATGGCTTAAACTCACACTGGGTGCTTAAATTCACACCGGGTGCTTTTGCATGTGTGCCCAAGATCCCGAGAGGCGAATGGAGAAGGGATTGTGGTGTGGCCATCCCCCATGGGGGGTGATTTCTCGCTTTAAGTCTTTCTGTCTCTCTCTATCTTTCTGGTGAGTGCACACACCCTATAGCAAAAACCTCTCAAAGAAAGAAAAAAAAAAAGAAAAGAAAGAAAAGAAAAAGACTCTTAAAATTAATATCACATAATAGAAGATCATGTGATCATGTATTTCTGTAATACATATCTATTAGGATCTCATTACACATTTGGTCACTATTTAAAATCATAAATTTCCTCTACATCAAGCTGAAATGATGTTCTCTGATGCTAACTACACAAAGATAGCAAATTATTCACCTGGCATTTAAAATTCTCTGTGAGTTAACAAGTAATGTTTTACTAGCCTTTATCTTGAGATGTAACTGACAACTTAGCCAACAATAATAAATAATAATTGAATTGTTTGAAAAGATATGACATCTTTCTGTTTCTCTATGCAAAAATGCATCATAATTTTCAAACAACCCAATATATATCCCGAATCTCTAGCACAATTGAGGGTGTCATTGAGAATATAAATCAAATGAGATTAGTAAGCTTGCTGGGAATACCGAATTTTGTTCTTTGACAGGATAAACTATAATCTAACTTACTGAATTTACTTTCTTAGGACAATACAAAGTATACTTTTTTTATAGTTAGATGAAATCAATCTACAAAAGAAGATAACTTATTATGTGACTAACTGACTGGTCCTTACCTGGGCAGCATCTTCTTCACATTTAAACAACTGCACCATCTGAAGCATCTTTAACCTTCGTACATCTACCATGTCTTCACATCTAATGGACCCAAACATAAATTTAGTTCATCATTTCAGGTTTTTTGATGGCTATTATAATGTTGTCATCTAGCATATGTGTTTTATGCTATACTAAAATACTTAGTCCTACACTATGGAGACAGCAACTATTTCGTATTGATTTGTAAGAATTTTAAGGATATCTATATCTATGTTACATCAAAACCTCAAAATACCTGAATGACACTGAATGACAAACATTCTTGAGGATAGCATGGATTCTGAAAAATATTGAAGCAAAGCATAAACTCAATAGTACACTGAAACCCAAAGAAATCTCCATTGCCAAGTAGCATTAAACAAACTCCAAAGATAAAGTTTTTTCGCTATGTTGTACTACCCATAATAATATTTAAATCTGAATTTGAAAAACCCTCCTTCTACACTGAAGGGTAAAAACCAATTCCACTGGTTTCTAGATGGAGAGAAACACAATTCAGAATTATTTTTCAATCTAACTGTAGTCTGCTTGGATAATACACAGATTAAAGTTTTAAGTAACTTGACCTATATCAGCCCTGATTCATTTCCCTCATTTTTGTTCAATTCCATGTACTGCATTTGGGATTAGCTGCAGCCCCCAAATACCAATAGCAAGTTATTCAACAGGTCCTGGGACTCTACTTGAGTCACTGGCCTTAAAGAAAATTTAATACAGAAATAGTTATTACAAGGCTACATACACACACACATAAATAGTATATAGACACACACACACATACACACACAGCATATATGCTGTGTGTGTGTGTGTATATATATATATATATATCTACATATGTAAAGATATAGAGATATTGTTTAAAGATATTTTTTAAAAGATATTTTAAAGATTTTTTTTAAAAGATATTTTTTCCCAAAGGGAGCATGTGAGACAGGCACAGAGACAGAGAAAAGGGAAGTGAGAAATGGCCTTCCAGGGGGAATAGCCATGCTACAATCCCTTCTTCATTCTCCTCCTGGGTTTTGGGGCATGTATACACATGCCTGGCATGATTAAAGCCTTCGGGTCCGGGACTCAAACTCCAGTTGACCAACTAGTGCCTTAATCACCATGTCAAATGCTGGACCCCATAAATATGCTTATGATAAAAGCCATGGTATAATATTAAAATGCAAGTTGGTTAAAGTATTTCTCCAAGGAATTGAAGGGACTATAGTATTTATTTTCATAACTGAAACTAAAAAAAAAAATGGTAAGATACTTCAGTGTTGAAGACTGTATACAAATTACATGTCAAATATTGGATAATGTGCTGAGAAGAAAATAAGACATGGTCCTTTATAATGAGATATTCCTACTTGGGAGATGGACTTTCTTTCTTTAAAAAAAAAAGAATTATTTATTTAATTTTATTTATTCATTCATTTATTTTAATGACCAGAAAAAGAAAGATGTACAGAGAGAAGAAAGTGGGAAAGCAAACCACCAGGTCTGGGACTTGAACCACAGTCAGCCATGTTGGAATGTCCAGCACCCTTACCACTACACCACATACTGGCCCGAGAGATGGACTTTCAAACAATGAGATAAATGCTATCATGGAGCTATGTAAATGATTTTATACAAGAAGAGAAGAGAAAATGACCTGCCTTAGAAATAATTGCTAAATTTAAGTATTCTTGAGTCTTGAAGAATAAACAGAAATCCAATAGGCAAAGAATAAGGAAAGAAGTATACTTAGTCATGAACGCACGAAACAGCATGGCACATTCAGGAAAATAAAAGCAACAGTGTGATTTTTTTGTGGGAAAATTATAGAAGATAAGATCATATAGATGATGTAGGTATAGATTATGAAAGGGCTCTCAACACTATTCCAAAGAGAATAGTATTTGAACTTTGTTTGAAAAAAAGGAAGTCAATGAAGGAGATTTTATACAATCTTTTCTCCTTACAAAGATTATGCTTGTGTACAACAGGCTTGAGAGGAGGAAAGCCAGAGGTAGATAAGAGATAAGATCTTGAACAAAAGAGGGGCCAGCAGGTAGTATGGTGGTTAAGGTGCTGGACTTCAAGATGGCTGACCATGGTTTGAGTAATGGACCTGGTGGCTTAAAAACCACACCAGCTGGGTGTGCACATGTGCAAAAAACCCTGAGAAGAGAATGGAGGAAAAAGAATTGTGGCATGGCCATCCCCTTGGCGGTGTGTGTGTGTGGGGTAATTTCTCACTTTCCCTCTCTCTGGTGAATGCACATGCCCTATGGTTAAAAAATAAATAAATAAAAAATTAAAAAAAAAATAAATGGATTTGAACAAAAACTGTTTGGGATTCAGAGACAGCAGAACTTGGACATCTGATTGGGCTGTGAGGGATAAGACAAAGGACTTAAAGATCTATCCCAAGTTTGGTAGCTAATAGTAACTTTGACCTGAACAGGAAATTAAGGAGAAGAATAAGTTACAGGGTACAACTATTCCAATATGGGCAAATTAGGTTTGAGGCGTATATGGGAAATACTAGGTAGGGATCTTGTATTTCTAGAGGACAGGACAAGGGTCTTGGTAAGAACTTCAACTCCAAAACTATGATCATATTAAAGTCATTAAAGCACTAACTCTGTTCAGAGAGAACACATAAAGAATTCAGCCTCAGAATAAACCCTGGATTTTATCTAGAAGACAAGAACCCAGTATAGAAAACCAAGCAGAAACAAGAGTGCCAAGAGCAGGCTCATGAGGGTGTTTTTAAGGAAGACTAAGTTGTCAGAGAGTTTCCAGGAGAAAGAAGGTCAGTTGTATCCAACACTATTCTCAACCAAACAAATCAGGAACAAAAGTACTCCCTGGGTTTTAAGCAAGATCAAGCATTGATTACAATCCCAAACACCAGTAGGAGCAAACTGAGTGAAATGATGAGGACAAGACTACAGAGGGCTGAAAAGTAAACTGGAGGTAGGGAGGAATTAGTATGAATGGAAATTAGACCTTCCAATGACTTAGTTGTGAGGAATACAAGCTCTAACACCTGAAAATAAAGGGCTTAAGAAGATAGACACGTGTGCAATTGTTTAACTCTTTAAAAAGTAGGAAATATTTAAGCACTTAAATGAAAAGCAGGAGTCAGAGTAGAGAATGGGAGTTGATGGAGTAAAGGACGGGCATTGATCAGACAGTGCCAACATGGAAGAACCAGCTCTGATGAGAGGAGAGCTTTGACATCCTCGGTGGTGAGAATAATGGAATAGGTAATTTACAGACACAAGGGTAGGCCATAGAAAGAATTCTTGCCTCATGACTATTTACTTTATGATGTAGAGAGTTTCTGAGGTTTGGCTGATGAAGCTAAAATTTCCAAGTGTGCAAAAATTCATAATTCATACAACCATGCTAGGTTGTATATACTTGCATAGACCATCCTAATCATTCACTTTGAAATACTCTGCAGATACTACTGCAAATTTAGCTTTCAAAGAATCCTGTATATTCCTAGTTCATAGCAGGTAAAGCTAAATATCATCATTAGTCCACTGTCTAATCTTTCAACAATAAATATAAGAACAATGCATGTGTGATATTTTGTAAGAAATTTGCATGAAATATATCAATGCAGATGAGAGATTTAATAGCATCTCTAAATTAAACCAAAATGGAAAAACAAAATTCTGAAAAGATTTTCTTAGTAGGCTATACTGAGGGTATAGAATGTGAAGTACAGTACTTGAGTGTGGGTGAAACATTTTTACTACCAAATAAAAAAGAGAATAGGTACTCATTAATTGAACAAGTTGACATCATTTGTTAGTGTAATTATTTAAAATAAGTATTACATTCACCAAAACCTATCACATGTTTATTTCATATACCACATGTTACTTATATAAATTATAAAATTTTTATTTTAGTTAATATTATATTATCATGGTAAAAATTAACATTAATAGTCAAACTTTGCCTTTGTTTCCTAAGCTGCATATCTTCCATCACTCCTTGTATGTGGTCCACATTTTCTTTATTTTCAATGGTTACATCCTTTCCATAGGCCCAGGATGCCTGATTGGAGATCTGATCCAGGAGACCTTGACCTTTTTCACGCAAACCTTGCAATCCAACATCTAAAACAAAAGTTTCTAAATTACTCTCTTGGACAGCTAAGGTGCTTGCCCCCCCCTCCCCTTCAAATACACCCTCTCGGCAGATAGTGTACCTGGATTTCACATATAACAACTCTGTAAATCAAACCATCTTGGGATGGTGTCTTCTGATCTGTTCTAGTCTGAGTAATAAAATTCCCTTAAATTGTGGCTCAAACTGGAACTCTCTCTTAAGCCAAATTTTTTCTTAAGGGAATTTTCAAAACATGAATTTCCACAAAAATAATTACTTCAAGACTGTTTTTATAAAAAGGGTTTTGCCATAGGGCACCCTGAAGGCAGAACAAAGTATGAGAATTTCTATTTTTATGAAAAATGTTTTTTTTTAAATTTTTTTCCTACTTTCATGTAGTCCAATTTTCAGGAGAACAAGGCAAATATTTTGTTTCAAAAATGTGTAAGATTTGCAAGAGTTCCAAACACTCAAGCAATGCATGCAATGTAAAATGGTGCTGAGCATTATGAATAAATGCACAGTCCAGCTTACAAACCATGGAAAGCAACATATAGGACATGTTCACAATACTTCAAATTAGATATGTGTACAAGAAGTCTTTTCTCTTTTTTAGAGAAAAGTATGACTCAAGGAAACATCTGACATTTCAAAATAAATTCTTTTTGGCATTCAATACTAAATGTGTTATGCATATAATCTTAATGGAATAAAGGCTGCAAGTAAGTAAAATGTCAGTATAAACATGATTTTTTTCAAGACAACTTGCTCAAGTTGTTTTCGATAATTAATCTGATTCAATTACAAGTCACCACTTTCTACAAATTCTCTGCCTTAGGTTCTTGCTTCCTCTCCTCCATTTTCCTTTCCCCTCTTTGCCTCAACACAACCCCTCGTCCCACTGTCATATCCTGACCTAAGGAAGAATACTCTAGTTCTTACTGTAGAGCAATTTTGAAGGCCTTGATACCTAGTGACAGAACTGGCTTAATGCAATTGGTCCATTCTCCCCTTGGGGGTATGGGTAACCTTGGTAATATCCCCAGTCTGGAGAAACATATGCACACAACCAAACCAACTACTTTTTCACAAGGTTAGGCTATAGCAACAACACAAATCATTGCATAAAACACAGTCTTGGGCATACAGGCTTTATCACAGAACAATTCACAGCTAATTACAATTTGCACATGCACTACAAGTAACTGTTTCTAGGCTATGCAAGACATAGCACCTACACATTCAGCTGGATACATAGGAGAGGCTAAAAGCCCACTGAAGGGAGGAGTGATGAACCAACACCAAAAAACAAAGGTTTGGGCATAAATTACACCCCCTCAAGGGAATAAAATCTTTTCCATACTATTTTTTCTTGTGTTCCCTGCAAATATTTAAAATTAGTTCAGTGTAAGTTGTCTAACCATGGTAATGATTTTTTTTAAAGAACCCTTATGTTTCAGCATTTTTTAAATCTGCTTACCAACACTTTTCAGCTTCTCTTCAAGCAGTTTTAAAGTCTGCTGAATCGATGCTCCATCAGCTGGTGCCACATCTACGCACAACATCCCTAATAAGCCATCCAACTGCTGAGACAACTAAAGCGGAGGGACACCAAAGAGATAACCCTGATGTAATCAGCATCTACGGTGCTTAATGATTAATGAAGTTTATATCTAATGAGGCTATCACAATTACTCCTGAAAATACTACAGTGTTAAGAGACAAGGACGAATAATTAGAATACATGTTATCTGAAACACAAAACACAAAGATGCATGCATCGGGAAGACAAAGAAATACATCCAAGTCAGCAGAATGCAAAAAATTATTGATGCTTCCATTTCTATCTATGTTATTGAGAAATAGTCAAAGTTAAATATATCTACTAGTTTGGAACATTCTAGTGAGGCAATAAAAGGCTTAACTGCATGCAGAATAACTTAAAAAGTAAAATAAAAGAATTTAATTTCATTACCCCCACCAGTAAATTATTTTATTGTTCCAGAATAATAATTAGAAGGCATGCAAACCTGCCTAAAATGATGTGTAGGTACGTGTTCAGATAATGTGAAGAAAAGGAAGCAACCAGAGTAGATACTTACATCTTGGGCAACGCCATGAAATTCAAGAGCAGCTTGTAAGAGATTTTGCCTAAATTCCAGCTGACTGGCCTGTCGATAACAAACATCACTAAGTTGTTGCTGCAGCGACTTCAGTTCCACAAGATCTTCCTCATCCCCAGCATTCAAGAGTGCTGCAATTTGCTGATTGAGCTCCACATATACTGCAAACCATTCCTGTAATTGAGAAGTTGCAAAGTAAATTAAGGATCCTAGAGGACATCACATTTTATAATTTCTCCATATAAACTAAGTAACATATAGACAAACTCTTCTAAGGAAAACTGATTTAAAATGAGGTTGAAAAGTCTCCAACCCACAGATCCTTCCACTGTGATCCCAGGAACCCATTCCGAATAGCAAAATTTCCTGTATCTACACCCTGGTCTCTAAATGTCCCCTACCTCTTTCTTTCTTTTTTCCTTATTATTTTTCCCCTTTTTGTCAAAAGGTGTGTGCACTCACCAGAGAGAGACAGAGTGACAAAGAGAGAGGGAGAGATGAAAGCACCCTAGTCAGGCCCCAATCCCATCTCCTCCATTTCTCCATCCTGTCAGGATTTGCGGCATGCACCACAAGGCCATGTATTGTCCCCTTCTCTTTCTTACTTTAAGTGCAATCTGTCTAATTGCTAAGAAACAGTTACCTCTGCAGAGCTCTCAACTGATTTCTGCTTTTGTTTCCACGACTGACATACCACCAGTCTGGAGGTGGGTTAGATGACCAGCTCATGCCTCCTTTCTACTTGCAGACCCTATCTTCTCCTCTCAAAAACCACATCTCCTTTGAAGAGCATGCTGCTGGATTACATCCTTCCCGTTTTCCCTGTGGCATCCCATTACTCACAAAGGGTAAGTTTAACAAAGGTCACGGCCTTCCTGTCAGTGCCAGCGATATTTAGTGACTTTCACCACATAGACAACTACCACCACTCTGAACTCTCAGCTCTTTGACATGCTTGTTCTCACCCCACCTTAGCTACCTACTCTGCTGGCCACAAAAACTTGCCACTCCATATTAATACAGTAATACAACTCCACAGTCCTGATTTCGCAAATCCCCTTTTCTGATCTCCAGGTTTTACCTCTCTAAATCTCCTTTAGTATGTCAGACTAGTTCACTAACCCACCTTTAGTATGGCCAGATTAGGATCTCTCCAGTCCTGTGGGGGCCACCAATCTATTGACCTCAGCATGTTTTATCATCACTCAGGAGCCTCACATCCTCACTTCCACCCTTGGTCAAAGGCTATAGCACCTCCCAGCATATAACTCATGCCCATGTCCTACTCTCCTTCCTTCATCTGATCTGTCTCTTGAAGCTGCAAGCCTGGTTTCTCTATTTACCGTGTGCCTGTGTCAGAGCAACTGAGCATGACCATACTAAAACCAATCATGTGGACAGGTCTCTTTAAAGTTATTACTAAATAATCTCAAATGGACCTTTAACAATGCATAAAATAAAGGTTTCTCTAATCAATTCACTTCCCCATTCTCATGGTAGCTTATGGATTTTTTCACCCCTTAAATTTCCCACTTCTTTTCACCTCTTTGTTCTCAAAGATCTTACTTTTTAATCCACTGAGAAATAATCAGAAGAAGGCTCTTTAATTTCCCCACTGACAAATCTACCACCCTCCCTTCTTCTGTAGCCCTGTGTGCTGTCCTTGCTACTGTGGTAACAAATGGCCTGTCTGCTTGCAAGACCAGCCCTTCAGCTGGTGTCCTGTTTCCCACCTCCTGCTGCCCTACCTAAGACCTTGCTCCTGCCATTGTCTTCTATCTCTCCCACAATTCTTCTTTTCAACTGGATTATTTTATCAACACATAAACGAGTTGTAATACCATCACTGGACCACAAAACATACACTTAAGATTTATCCATTTTACTATGTATAAATGAAATGACAATTGAAAACCAAAGAAAAAAAGTTCTCTGAAAGGAGTTCTCTATACTTACTCTTTTCTCATTTCCCATTCTCTTTTATCCTTCACACTCTTTTAAAGTCAACCTTATCAAAATAACCAAAAAATTTCACCTTGTCAAATCCAGTGGTCAGTTCTCGGTCTTCACCTTATTGGATCTCACAGCTGCACTGGGCCCAAGTGACCACTTTCCTCTCCTTGAAATGTCTTTCATCTTGTTTCTGAGATACAACAGTTCCTTCAAGCTGTCTTTGTTGGCTCTCTTTCTTCTTCTGTTCTTTTATGTTTAGGTTTTCCTAAATTCAGCTTTTCAATGTCCCTATTTTCTTTTAAATCAATAATCAGTAGGCTTAGAAGATGAATCTAGTCCCATGCCTTTAAGTAAAATCTATAGGTTGATAAATACCTAATTAATACCCTCGGCCCTGACCATTCCCCTGAATCTTAGATAGTGAAACCCGGGTGTCCACCAGCCGACCATATTCATTCGGATGACTATTAAACATTGAAACTTTACTTGGTCCCTGAAAGTACTGATTCTCTGTCCTCCCAACACGTTTCTCTCCCAGCCTTCCCCACCTTAACTATTGCTAAGGTCAAAAGTCTGATTCTTCCATAAGCATATCTTGCTGGCTCAAGCTTACAACTCTACTACCACCACCCTATTAGCACCCTGTCTTTCATTTTCAATGCTTGTCTCTACTCCCTATTCTCTATACAAGAGGCAGAAATCTTTGTAAAACATAAGTCAATCCTCTGTTCAAAAACCTCTCTAATGCCTTCATATAACATTTGAAATAAGCTTTAAATTTCTTTTCAGGATAATAAGGCATTACATGCTTTGGCCCCTAACTGCCTTGTTTCAAATCTTTATGCTCTGTGACTGCCTACCTTGCTTTGTACTCCAATGATGCCAATGGTCTGGGTGACTCTCAAGCAAGTTCCTGCCTTGGGGTATTTCTACTACTGTGTCCTCTATCTGAACTGTCCTATGCTTGGAGTTGTCCTTCACATAATTTCAAAGTTTCTGATTGAATGTCATCCCCTTAGCAAGTTCTTTTCTAAAAGCCACATCTATATTGCTCTCCACTCCCTCTCTCTCCAACCTGAATATAAAATCCAGATGGTAGGATTCCACTATATCTGAAAAGCCCAAACAACACATAACACATAGCATATGCTCAATTAAAATGTATTAAATTAAATAGACAAGTGGGACTATATCAGATTAAGACGTTTCTGTACAGCAAAAGACACAGTAATTAATGTGAATTGAAAATCCTCAGAATGGGAGGCATTTTTTTGTAAAATATGCCTCAGATAAGGGACTGATAACCAGAATATACAGGGAACTCAAGGGGCTTATCTGAAGGAAAAAATAAAAAAGATGGACCCAATTAAAAGATGGGAGAATGAACTGAAAAAAATCACTCTAAGAAAGACATATGAACAGCCAAAAAGCAGTTGAGGAAATGCTAACCATCAGTCATCATAAGGGAGAGGCAGATTAAAACCACAATGAGATACCACCTAACCCCTGTCAGAATGGTGAAGATTAAAAATATAGAAAGTGGTTAAGTGCTGGTGGGGTTGTGGTGAAAGGGGAACTCTCCTACACTGTTGGTGGGAATGTAAATTGGTTCAGCCACTGTAGAAAACAATATAGAGGTTCCTCAAAGACCTATATTATCCAGCAATCTTGCTTATGGTTATCTACCCAGCGCACAGAAGAATGCACAGTTGGAGAGTGTGCATGCACATCAATGTTTATTGCAACATTATTCACAATTGCTAAGACTTGGAACCAACCCACATGTTTGCAAACAGATGAATGGATTGAAAAAAGTTTGGCACATATACTCTATGGAATACTATTCAGCCGTAAAAAACAACAAGGCCCTGGCATTAGACAGAAAGTGGTCAAATATGGAAGATTAATTGCTGAGTGAAGCAAGCCAGGCTATGAAAGAAAGATTTTGTATGTATCCACTTAATATATACCAGTTATCTGCACTATATGGTAGAGACTGAAATATTGGAGGGCATGAAAGCAGTTATGGATGCTGAAGAAAATAAGTTATGGATGCTGAAGACAGTGTGGAATTGTGGTGGGAGAAGGGATGAGTATAGAGAGGGATAGCATGAGAACAAGTAGACATGGCACTTGTGGGACACATAAATGGTTTATTACCTGCTGATGATAACATATATAGTACTCTCTACTGGACTGGTCTGAGAAATATTTCATGTTAGGTAAATTCTATTTACAAACCAAATGATGTATGGTAATTGAATGCTTAAAAAATGAGAATAAAATAATAATAATAATAATCTGAAAAAATGAAAAGCTACTTGATGATGATGATGTGGATAGTAATGTCTTTATCTTGACTGATATGCATGGTAATCATGCTGGAAAAAGAAATGTTATACACTGTGAAGATATATGTGAATAAATGTAATATTTAAAAAACAATACAAAATAATAAAAAACATATTAGACATTACAGATTTGCTGAAATTAAATTCAGCAAGTTAAATTACATAAGAGGATGATTCCCCACCCCCCCAAACATTTGGTGATGTCTGGAGATATTTTTGTTATCATAACCAAGGAGAAGGAATACTACTGAACCCAGTAAGTATTCATCAGTGAAGCTGCTAAAAATCCTACAGTGCACAGGACCAGCCCCTACAACACTGTCAACAGTGCTGAGATAGAGAAATCTTGCTTCATCCAATGGTGATAATAACTCTGTTTTACCTACTTTACTAGTTGTTACATAGATCTAAATAAATGATGTATGCAAAATACATTTTTAAATTACACAGTTATTATCATGACTAATGGACATTGACTGTTTTAAAGTAGAAAATAATACCTGAGAAAACTGTCATTTTCTAAAACATAAAAGGATTTTAGTCTTACTTATAGTAATTGTGAATTTATTTAAGCCTCTAGATGAATTGTTCCAATATTTGAAGAAATAATTGCAACTAGACTCCTAGGATGAAATATTTCAGTGAGAACTAGTTGCATCAGATCATCTGGGCAGCTTAATAAAAAGGCAAAGGCCGCATCATGGTGGCACAGGTAAAAGGGCAGCCATGGGTGATACTGGAGCTACCTAGAAAGCATGGGTTCAGATCATAGGTTGACCTGAACACATCAGATGAACCCAAACATACCTATGATCCTAGGTGGCTGTGAGGCTTAGTCGAGGGTATCTGTCCCTGTCTCCTTCACATGAAATAAATTATTTATTTTTTAAAAATGCCTAAACGCTGCTCCTGATCTACTGAATCAGTGTGTCAGGGTTTGGAGTCTTGAAATACCCACTTTAAAAAGTACATGTGGAGACCAGCAGTTAGTGTAATAGCTATGTCACTGAACTCCCATGTAGTTGACCATAGGTCGAGTCTCGGCCCTTGTGGTTTAAACTCACTTTGGGCTGATGTGTGTGCGTGCCCAAGATCCCGAGAGGAGAATGGAGGAGAAAGGATTGCGGTGTGGCCATCTGCCTGAGGGGTGATTTCTCGCTTTTGCCTCTCTGTCTCTCTCTGTATTTCGGGCAGGCACACGTGCCCTATAGCAAAAGCCTTTCTAAAAAAAGAAAGAAGAAAAGAAAAGAAAGAAAAAGTACATTGATGATTATTCTACTTATTAAGGTTTAAGAACCACTACTGTAGGGCCAGCAAATGGCATGGTGGTTAAGGTGTTAGACTTCCACTTGGCCAACTATGGTTCAAGTCCCAGACACAATGGCTTGAAAAGCACACCAGGTGTGTTTGCATTCGTACCCAAAAATCTCAGGCAGAGGATGGATAAGGGACTACATCATGGGCAACCTCCCTGAGGGGTAATTTCTCACTTTCCCTCTCTCTGGCAAGTGCACACATCCCAGGTGAAAAACTTAAAAAAAAGGAAATAAAAAAGAAATAGAACCACTACTGTGGGCCTGAATTTTTTTGTGGTTTAAAATTGTAAAATAAAGGTTTTAGCAACCGGACCAGGAATGTGTTTATAATGTAAAGACAGATATGTCTTTTTAAAAAATAATTATTTAATGTATTATTATTAATTTGCTATAGGGCATGTGCACTGACCAGAGAGAGATTGGAGATTGGGGCAGGGGGGCAGTTGGGGAGGAGTAAGAAAGCAAGCCACCAGGTCCAGGACTTGAACTTGAACTACGTTTGGCAATGTGGGAGTCCAGCTCTCCCACCACATCACCTGCTGGCTCAAGACTAGCATGTCTTAAGAAATAAATACCTGAAACTAGAGGCATTGTTATCAGAAATACATAATCTGTTTCCCTGAGATACAGGGAGGTGAGGAATCTGGTTTACATATGTATACATTTAAAATTAATCAAAATGTTTCTACCTAGAAAATGGGGGAACATAGAAGTAAAGAACATGGGAGGGTCCTGGTTTCATATCCCTGGACCTCCTGCTCATGCCAGGTGCACATGGATGCCCATGATCCAAGCTGGCTGAGAAAGGGATAGGTTGTGAAGTGAAGACCCTGGTGGGGGCTCTAGTCTGTCTGTCTTTGTCTCATGGAAATGAATGAATGAATGAATAAACAAAGGAAAAAATAGAATGTATAGAACCTTAGGTGAATTGGCTGCATTTATTTTGGTTCACTTCTAGCCATAGTCTGGTCTATCTCTTGTACACATTTAACTGTGTGGAAAATTATTATTTCATAGCAACATAAAAAGTAACACCATTATTTGGGATTGGGATTAAAATGGTAAACGGAAGTGTTTTTGAATGTTCACATTTAAGACTGAAGAGGTCAGGACTGACACAGAAATCAAATGTGAATTGGCAATGCACAGTTGGTAAAATGATGGGCACTTATACTTTCTACCACGAAATACCTAATTTAGGAGAAAAGAAACATCACCAGTCTGATTAGGTTAAAACGTGATTATACTGGAAATATGTATCAGGGAGAAGTGAGCTTTGATTTGTCACCTAGACCTGCTCGACTGTTTACTACCAGGCACAGTACACCAGCATGTGGCCTCTTTAGAAACCAGAAGTCAGCACTGTGGGATGGCAGGATATCAAAGAACTCGGAAGCAGCTTCAGAGACTTATGCTTCTATGTGTTCTCATCACATGCAGTTCCTAACACACATGAAGTCACATCTAAAACAAAGATTTATTACTGAACTAAATGCTTTTAAACTTACTGTTGGCTACTATAATAATTTCTTTCCTTCCTTCCTTCCTTCCTTCTTTCCTTCCTTCTTCCTTTCTTCCTTCCTTTCTTCCTTTCTTGAGAGAGATTTTTGCTATAGGCCACATACACTCACCAGAGAGACAGAAAGTGAGAAATCATCTCCCAACGGGGATGGCCATGCCTCAATTCTGTCTCCTCCATTCTTCTTTTGAGACTTCGGGCATGCATGCACACATGCCTGGTGTAAGTTGTTCTTTTTAATTTTAAATATGGAATGCTTCTCGAATTTGTGTGTCATCCTTGCACAGGAGCCATGCTTATCTTCTCTGTATTGTTCCAATTTTAGTATATACAATGCAGAAGTGAGCACCCTGGCGTGAATTTTAAATGACCAGGTTTGGGTCTTGAACCACGGTCGACTACGTGGAAGTCAGGCGACATAACCACTATGCTATATGTTGGTCCCTATTATAATAATTTCTTAACATTTTTATTTTGTTGTATTAGAAACCCAAATGACTTCTAATTCACAATCCTTGCCAACTCCTCAGCAAGGTCTTTTCTGAAAGCCACATCTACGTTACGCTCCATGCTCTACCTTATATATCAGGAAGACTTCTATTTTTCTATATACCAATATTAAATATTCTAATAAATTAGGATGTTTAGCTTTTTCATGCATTATGATTTGACATAAAATCTAAAAATTAATATTTGATATTGTGCTTTAATACAAAATAATATGCTATAAGTTTTTAAAATTTGATCCTTATTAGCTATCAGTGCTAAAAATTTATTATTATCATTTCATAAGACCTGAACAATTGCAAAAAATGCTATAAAATGTTGGCTTTTATTTACAAAGAAAAAGCACAGTTTTTACTGGCATATTAGAATATTTTAAATATTTAAAGTTAATACATTTATCTAGCATCAACCATTTTCAAGGTGACAATGCAGTGCCACCTATTGGTTAAGAGGATAAGCCTCTTTTTAAAACCTTTTAGAATGAAAAAGTTCAAGTCTATTCAGAAGTAGAAAGAGTCCATATACAATTCAGCTTCAATAATTATTAACTCAAGGTCAATTATTTTTAATCTATACTCCCATTCAATCTTTCTCCACCTGGCAATTTTGAAACAAATCTCAAATGTTGTATATGATGTAAAGAAATGATATTGATGTATTTTTCTATTTTCTTTGTGAACTTATAAGTATAGAAGTCAATTTCTAACCGGAATGATTTATTTTAACATCATTTATTCCTCCTTTCTTGGGGGGCGGGAGTTATTTTTTAGGTGTCTGTTTTCAGTCACTGCTTTTTCTGTTTTGTTTTGTTTTGTTTTTGTTTTTGTTTTTTTCACTATAGGGCACGTGGGCACATGCACTCGCCAGAGAGAAGGGAAGTGAGTAATCATCCCCTAGGGAGATGGCCACTCAACAATCTCTTCTCTCCATTCTCCTCCTAGAAGAATGTCCAGCCCAGTGCTCAGCCCGAGTTTCAAACCGCTGAGTCTGAGACTACAGTGTGGCCTTCCCCACTGGAGGGATGATTTCTCACCTTCCCTCTCAGTGCCTCTGTATCTCCAGTGAGTGCATGTGCTCAATGGAAAAAGCTATTATATATAAGAGTGTGTGTGTGTGTGTGTGTGTGTACATAGGTAAATGCTGTCTTCAGAATCTTCGTCTTAGACTTAAGGGACACTATCATAACTGAGTCTTAAAGTCTATTATGTTCGACAGCAAATACTGTTGTTGTTGGTTTTTATTTTTATTTATTTTGTTTTTTTATTTTTTGCTATAGGGTATGAGTACTTGCCAGAGAAAAATAGAGAGAGAGAGAGAGAGAGAGAGAGAGAGAGAGAGAGAAAGAGAGAGAGAGAGAGAGAGAGAGAGAGAAATCCCCCCCTGGGGGGATGGCCATGCCGCAATCCCTTCTCCTCCATTCTCCTCTCTAGATTTTGGGCATGCACACACATGTGCCCACCATGATTTTCAAGACGCATTTCTAGGACTCGAACTGAATCCATGCAGCTAGCCATGTGGGACCCAGTAACTTAACCTCCAGGCCAACTGCCTGCCCAAAAATACTGTTTTCGGTAACTAAATGAGAGGACAAATTATAGAATCTAAGTTGTTATAAATGTTCCAGAATAGTCCAAAGACTTCAAATAAATCACAATGTACATGAAAAAAAAACAACAGAAGGTATTTAAAAAGTACCAATTGTATTATAAGATTATAGCCTCAGGCATAGAGTTTATAAATTAAACATAAACTATTCAATTTTTTTAACATAAAAGGAAATCCATCATGTTGGAATCTGTTAGGAGCATAAAGTATGTACATTTTCAATGACAGGATTTCATTTTCATTTGTGAGTATTCATTAAGAAAATTGCAGGGATTATAAATGTGCTGCCTACAGATGATTCCAAATCTTTGATACCTCTTTCTTATACATGGTTCCCTCAGCTAGACTGTAACTCCTTTAGTATATACTATGTAGGTTATCGGCCACAACTACGGGTTAAAAAAACTGGTTTGGGAAATACTATGAAGAAAGCAGACATATTGCAGACACACAATCTTCAGATGATCCTTAAATTTCACCTGGGTTCAGAGTTTAACATGATTGTTGGTATTTTTTTAAAGAAAGATAATCTAAGAAGATATAAATTAATGAATTTTTATTTTTCCAATTTTGTATTCCATCTATTTTGAATTACCATAAGAAGTACTAAGGCTTTGGGAAGGAAAACAGATGAACTACCTGATCCATGAACAAGATGATCACTTTCTTAATAATGAGGAATTAACTATATCAGAGTATAAGTTCAACAAATATCAGCTTCTTCCACATAACAAACTGTTGGCAAAGTGTAGTCTCCACCCTGCCTATAGAACCTCTTCTGGTTCTCCTAAGCAATGATTAACTACAGTCTGCCTAAGGATCAATTTATTTCCCAATTTCATACCCGTGACTTGTTGGATTAGCCTCTGTACAAGCACAAACGTGAATCCTTAAATGCATGAGAATGGAACACTACTTTGTACCTCTACACCCACTCTCCGTCAGCTGTGTTTAATACAGCAATTCTGGTATTGCTCTTGGGTATTTAATTATACTATGTTCTCCAATAAAACAGAGAAGGGCCTCCCTCTGAGGACTTAAGAACAGAAGTTTCTGTTACAGAGACTACAGATGAAGGCTCTGTTTTTGGACCGTCACTTATTTTCTATCACTGGAGCTTTTACAATTTCATACAAAGTTTGTTTCTATAAGAATATAATTAAACTGTACTGAGACAAAAAGCAAAACCATGCTTCTTATAAATATGAACTAAGTGGCCAAAATGAATAAAATGACCTCAAAGCATTTAACATATTATACTTTATGTCTCTATACCAAAGCTTATAGCAACTTATCACTCAGTACCATATGTGCTCGTAATTATGCACATTAATAATAGCCTCAAAACTTGTGGAGGAAAAAGCCACTCACACTGTGCTGGCTTTCAATCTCTTCGTGCTTCTGCTGCAGGGCCTGGGAAGCCCTTATGGAGTCACCAATCCCCCACTGGGCTCTTAGTTGTTCTGATCCAGGCCCTTCAAGCCAGTTCACGACCTATAAAAGAAAGTTGAGATGAAATTATTAAATAATCAAATGATTTTAAACTTTATTTTAACTGTTCGTTTCCCCTCACAAAGTTCAAGTAGTTTTAATTTAAATTCTTTAAATTCTACTACATAACAGTAAATGTTTCTTTTAGAACTACACGGTTATAATGTGGTAATATTTCCAAAGTTTAAATTTGCAAGAATGTATACTATAGTCCTGTAGGCTTCCAGCTCTCTGATCATCTGCTAGGCTGAAAGAAATCTGGAATGTTTCTATAAAAGGGTTTTAAAAATTAACTTATGATGATATGAGAATCAGAGAACTATAGGATTTAGAGTTGGAAGGGACATCAGAAATGACATCAGACAAAGTTCTTATCTAACACTTAGGAAAATTGAGTTTCAGAGAGATTTGCCCAAGGTACTATCCATTATTGAAAAACTAGGACTGTTTGTCTAATGTTCCTCCCAAAGCACTGATAACATGGAATGGATTAATGAACTAATATAAAGTTAAAACATTATTTTCTCACTTTGGAAAAAAACAAAAACAAAAAAACCAAAAATACCCCTAGAATTGTACTACTAGTTGTCCTACTCTCTAGGGGTCTTTTTAGGATCAACCAAACATTCAGAACCACAAGAGACCCCATGGGCACCATACTGCTCAGAAAGTTGCATAGTGGGGGCCACAGTTGCCAAGATGGCAGCACCAGGCACTCCTCTTTCACCCAGTCCCTGGAGCAGGTTTAAGGAGATGAGATCCATATATATGGGGCACATATGGAAGACCCTGATATCAAAATCTCATATTCCACAGGGCCATGCCTATTGTAAGAGTTACTAAACTCAAAGACACCCAAAGTTATGCCTTCCATTAAATCTTAATAGCTCTCCCAGTCCAGATTTGTAATAATTTTACTAAAAGCAATATCACCTAGCAACATAGTTGACATCCTATTTTTACTATTTTTTCAGGGAAGCAGATCCAGACAGTTAGGCAAAGATTAAGTTTTCATACAGGAGAGGAGGTTTTGTTAACTCTTCATCCACAATTACAATGTGAAGAAATTTTAACAGAGAAAACATGACCTAACTTTCTTTATCTATGACTAAGTTAGAATAAGGAATTGAAGAAAAGATGTACGGTTATGCCCTAAATCTAAACTTACGGTGGCTCACTTACCAAGAAAGACAGAAAGAGAGGGAGAGATGAAAACTTCCTATATGGAAATGAGGGTGCCTCTGAGGCATATTGTTACGCACAGTGCACAAGTTTGCCTTAGAACTGTGTAACAGAGCTGTGCAGATCCATAGCACATTTCTGCTATCGTCAGGTTTAAAAATATTTCTTTAAAAATCTAATAGTTTACAATTTTAAAGCTGAAGTGTGTCCTGGTGTGTTCAAGAAAGCCATGCTCTCAACCCATCTCCTAGACTCCCAAAATATTCAGACAGGAAGCCATTTTAAAGCCGAGGTATGTCCTGGTGAGTTCAGGGAAGTCATAATCTAATCCCATCTCCTAGACTCCCAAAATATTCAGACAAGAAGCCATTTTAAAGCTTAGGTGTGTCCTGGTGCATTCAGGGAAACCATGCTCTAATCCCGCCTTTTAGACTCCCAAACATTCAGACAAGATAAGGCCTTCGTGCACAGTAGCCAAGCATCTGAATCCTTTTAGAGTCATTGAAATCCTCAACGCTTATTGAATCTCCTGCTTTAAGGAAGAAATTTCTTTCTATAAATCTGAACTCCTAATCTTGCTGTTGATACCACACTGGTAAGCACTGTAGAGGAGAGATTTTGTCACAGAATGACCAGAAACTTACTGCAGAGCAAAAGAAATATGAGAAACCAAGAAAATCTCTCTCCCCTAAGGGAAAAGAACAATACCTCATCATCTATAGACAGTACAGTAGAATTCATGGAAATGTCTGATAAAGACTACAGAATATTCATAGTGACAAAACTAAAGGAGATGCAAGAGCTGAAAGATAATGAACTCCAGATGATGCTTGAGAAAACAGACAATGAGTTCCAAGAGATATTGAAGTACTTTCATGATCAGAAAGAGGAAATACACACCATAAAAAGAACCAAATGGAGCTATTAGAGAGGAAGTTATAATGTGGTAATATTTCCAAAGTTTAAATTTGCAAGAATGTATACTATAGTCCTGTAGGCTTCCAGCTCTCTGATCATCTGCTAGGCTGAAAGAAATCTGGAATGTTTCTATAAAAGGGTTTTAAAAATTAACTTATGATGATATGAGAATCAGAGAACTATAGGATTTAGAGTTGGAAGGGACATCAGAAATGACATCAGACAAAGTTCTTATCTAACACTTAGGAAAATTGAGTTTCAGAGAGATTTGCCCAAGGTACTATCCATTATTGAAAAACTAGGACTGTTTGTCTAATGTTCCTCCCAAAGCACTGATAACATGGAATGGATTAATGAACTAATATAAAGTTAAAACATTATTTTCTCACTTTGGAAAAAAACAAAAACCAAAAAACCAAAAATACCCCTAGAATTGTACTACTAGTTGTCCTACTCTCTAGGGGTCTTTTTAGGATCAACCAAACATTCAGAACCACAAGAGACCCCATGGGCACCATACTGCTCAGAAAGTTGCATAGTGGGGGCCACAGTTGCCAAGATGGCAGCACCAGGCACTCCTCTTTCACCCAGTCCCTGGAGCAGGTTTAAGGAGATGAGATCCATATATATGGGGCACATATGGAAGACCCTGATATCAAAATCTCATATTCCACAGGGCCATGCCTATTGTAAGAGTTACTAAACTCAAAGACACCCAAAGTTATGCCTTCCATTAAATCTTAATAGCTCTCCCAGTCCAGATTTGTAATAATTTTACTAAAAGCAATATCACCTAGCAACATAGTTGACATCCTATTTTTACTATTTTTTCAGGGAAGCAGATCCAGACAGTTAGGCAAAGATTAAGTTTTCATACAGGAGAGGAGGTTTTGTTAACTCTTCATCCACAATTACAATGTGAAGAAATTTTAACAGAGAAAACATGACCTAACTTTCTTTATCTATGACTAAGTTAGAATAAGGAATTGAAGAAAAGATGTACGGTTATGCCCTAAATCTAAACTTACGGTGGCTCACTTACCAAGAAAGACAGAAAGAGAGGGAGAGATGAAAACTTCCTATATGGAAATGAGGGTGCCTCTGAGGCATATTGTTACGCACAGTGCACAAGTTTGCCTTAGAACTGTGTAACAGAGCTGTGCAGATCCATAGCACATTTCTGCTATCGTCAGGTTTAAAAATATTTCTTTAAAAATCTAATAGTTTACAATTTTAAAGCTGAAGTGTGTCCTGGTGTGTTCAAGAAAGCCATGCTCTCAACCCATCTCCTAGACTCCCAAAATATTCAGACAGGAAGCCATTTTAAAGCCGAGGTATGTCCTGGTGAGTTCAGGGAAGTCATAATCTAATCCCATCTCCTAGACTCCCAAAATATTCAGACAAGAAGCCATTTTAAAGCTTAGGTGTGTCCTGGTGCATTCAGGGAAACCATGCTCTAATCCCGCCTTTTAGACTCCCAAACATTCAGACAAGATAAGGCCTTCGTGCACAGTAGCCAAGCATCTGAATCCTTTTAGAGTCATTGAAATCCTCAACGCTTATTGAATCTCCTGCTTTAAGGAAGAAATTTCTTTCTATAAATCTGAACTCCTAATCTTGCTGTTGATACCACACTGGTAAGCACTGTAGAGGAGAGATTTTGTCACAGAATGACCAGAAACTTACTGCAGAGCAAAAGAAATATGAGAAACCAAGAAAATCTCTCTCCCCTAAGGGAAAAGAACAATACCTCATCATCTATAGACAGTACAGTAGAATTCATGGAAATGTCTGATAAAGACTACAGAATATTCATAGTGACAAAACTAAAGGAGATGCAAGAGCTGAAAGATAATGAACTCCAGATGATGCTTGAGAAAACAGACAATGAGTTCCAAGAGATATTGAAGTACTTTCATGATCAGAAAGAGGAAATACACACCATAAAAAGAACCAAATGGAGCTATTAGAGAGGAAGGCTGCCCTTCAGGAAATCGAAATGCCCCTCGAAAGTGTTAAAAGCAGATTAGTCCATGCAGAAAATCGAATCTAGAATGTTGAAAGCAAAACCTCTGAGCTAGGAAAAAATAAATAAATAAATAAATAAAACCCTGAGAAAATAACCCCCCAAAATGAGAATACTATATGAGAAATACTAGACAGCATTAAGCGCCCAAACATTCGCATAATTGTTATACCAGAAGGTGAGCAAACTGATAAGGGCACTGATAATCTATTCCATGAAATCTTGGAAGAAAACTATCCAAATCTAAAGAGGCATTCAAATATCCAGACCCAAGAAATACAAAGGACCCCTAATAGAATCAACCCAAGAAGATCTTCTCCAAGGCACCTCATAGCCAGACTGATCAAATCTACAGACAAAGAAAAGATACTAAAATTGGCAAGAGAGAAGCGTCAGGTTACTTATAAAGGTTATCCTATCAGGCTAACCTCAGACCTCTCATCAGAAACAATGTGAGCAAGGAAAGAATGGAAAAATATATTCAAAATGTTAAGTGAAAAACAGTTTCAACCAAAAATAGTATACCCAGCAAGATTATTTTTCTTATGGAAAGAAAGAATAAAACATTCTCAGATAAACAAGACCTGAAAGAATTTGCCGGTAGCAGATCCATTCTTTAAGAAGCTCTGAAAGGAGTGCTCAATCAGTAAAACTAAAGATACATAAAGAAATAAGAGAATAAAAGGCAACCAAGAAAACGACCAATTTGGGGACAAGAAATATCTATAACAACACAGAATGTTAACTTCCAGGATTTAAATGGAAAGATGGAACTGCAGCAATATTGCATATTCAACAGAAGAGAGTTTGAACATAAGACTGAA